TATGGAAAAGGTTTCTCCGAGTTGATTAACTCGCACAGACAGTTATCTGATGGAGATTTCTGAAATAATAATGTATATAAAGCCAGCATGAACTTCACAAAAATAAAACTTACAAATCATGCAGTAAAAAACACACACGGCGGTATTTTACCTGGTGGGTGATGGTGAACAGAGCCCACAGAGGAAGGATTACATACAGCTTCATGGTGCATCAGAGAGCACATCAGACTGACTTTGAAAGCAGGCTGACTGCAGCAACAACAGCTATTTCATGAACACTCCCACAGATTTCTGCACGAGCTGCAGGGGATTTGCTTTATTGCAGGGTTTCACTTCCTTTTCTGCTTTTGGGATTGCGGCAAAGTGGAGTTTCATTGTTTGACTTGTTGATATCGTTGTCAGCAAAAAGGCAGATGGGTGTAACTAATGCTGTTAGTGCACCACTATAAGAATTCATGTGCAAATCTTTTTATTCCTGGGAAAATCCACTGCTTTTAAGATACACCATGTTGCAACGCCCTAATAGAAAATATGTTTTATCTTATAATGTTTTATTTTTAAAAGATAATAGAATGTTCATTCATTTTTATCTAATCTATCTCTATTAAATGTTATTTTTTTAGTGTGCATTTTAGCACCTTCAATATAAAACAATGAATAAATTATACTTAAGAGAAAATAGCTTTAAACTTTGTGTATATTGTGACCAAAACTCAAATTTTGGATAGTTAGATATTTCCAAAAAAGGAAAACAAAGAACAATACCCCATTTAACTTTTTTTCCTTTTTTCTGATGCTAAAACTAATCCCAGCCTGGAGTCTCTTTCCAGAAAGTTTGCATCTTCTCACTCTCTGCTTACTCTATTAAAAATGTTTTGATAACTATGGTTTAAAATAAATACACAAGCAAATACTTGACAAATTGAACAAGTGGCCATAATGATGATTCAAATATATATATACATCAAATTAAAGAGGATACAAATGCAAATATAGTTCATGATGAGAATCCTTGGATAATTCAGATGGGTTGGCAATCTGTTTTGCACAATAATAACACAGTAACGCAGAGTAAAATGAAAAAATTATCTTACAGATTTTGCACTGAAAAGGCCCCCCACATTTTACTAAATTTATTACGAGTGCCAAGTTTATTTAATCAAAGTTTTTCCATTTGTTGGACAAAAAGCATCACGTTCAGCCAGGGATCAAAGCCTGGTTGGGTGGCAGACTTCCAAGTCAATAGGATCAACAACTGATGTGCCTCTGAGGAACTATTGCTACGTTTGGGCTGGTACAAAGTCACAGGAATATTTCTGGAGACCCACTGAAAGATTGCTGGACAGAATCTCACTTCGCTTGGATTATCTCTGGGTTCTCCTGGTTCCTCACTAACCTGAAAACAGGACTTCATAGAGGAATGGTGGCCCAAAGGTTTGAGAGCAGAAAACGCAACCCAGAGCAACTGCAACATTTCTGGGCCACACTTCAGACTGTCATTCTAGGTCCATGAACAACAGCCCTGATCCCACACTCTCCCTGAGTGCAACTAATGTACAACTGCAATGAAAAAATGATGATTAGGTGATTATTATCAAAAGGAAGAGTCAAGAAATTACTCAATCACCGGGGGGAAAAAGGGAAATGGGCAACTCCCTAGTTTTTAAGTATTCCGTAGTTTCTTATCAATTTAAAATATTTCAGGATCCTGTGGTGAGGATGTGCAACAATATCAAAGAAGCATTTCATTTAGTGATGTAGATAAATAAATGTCCTAAACCATTAGCACAGACTGCTGAAGGCAGCACACAATTTTAGCATAAAATCTGTACACAGCAGAAAACCATGCAAAACAATGCAGTGAGTTGAATGGTTGATGTGTTTGGTTCAAGGTTTCCGACCTGGTCACACGTCACAACGAACTCATAGATGCATACTGATCTCAGTATGAGTTTATAAATCAGGGGTGTTTAAAGTAACCTAAAAAACAAACAAACTGAGTAAAATACCTTAACATGAAATTACTTTGGAAGAAGTTAAAGTCAGTCATAAGGGAAGTAAGAAATTAAAAGTCAAAATCTATTCTCAATTACTGGAAAAGTACGTATTAATTATTTTTGTACATAAAAGAAGCAAGAACATTTTTTGGTCGGCTGTTTTAATGCAATCTGGTAAAGACATTGGGTGGAGAATGTGTTTAAAACCTGATTTAGTCCTAAGAAAACATTATTTTAAACATAAGTACATCCATTCCCAGCTGTTCTATCTGCCTGAGAAAACTATTAAGCGTTCTACAAAAACACGAGGAAATGTTTCCACTCCGTCTCAGAGGGACAATAAAAACTAAAAACCATTTTGTTCAAATAACTTACAAGCAAAACAAGATAAGTTTTGTCAGGTTTATTTGATGATGATTATAAAATGAATGTGTGCTTATGAATCATTTGTGCAAGGGAGATGCTGCACTGTGTCTTGTGATGCAGTCAGGAGACCATCCTGCCTCGTGATTCTGGTGGAGCATCCTGTCTTTATGGACTGATCAATTGTTTTGTCAGAACAATACTCTGTTTTGTAATCATGTGCTATGTTCTGTTAATAAAAGACGGCTGAAGGAGGGGATTCGGAGAAGGGAAGCTTGAAGTTGGGTTGGGTTTTTCCTTCCGCTCCTGCAGAAGCAGCTTGAATCTCTTTCCAGTGCAGACTCAATTTCTATAATTTAAAATCTACATTTCCTGAATCCAACAAGTTTCATTACACTTTCCAACTAATAATGCAAAATGGTTTAGCGCAGCTATTAGGACAAATATTTAGAATGAAAGTCAGAGCTGTAAATTACTTTCTCACCTGCCAAAAAAATAAATAAATAAAACAAATACACAGTAATTTTTTAAATAAGTTTACTCTTAAAAACTTTAACAACTTTGCAAATATGGTGCATTAGTCTACTATTCAGTAAGGAGAGTGAACCAGGACAAACAGAATACCGTTCTTCTTCTCTTGCTTACATGCAGATTTCAAATAAACAAATCCTGTCATGACATTGCTAATTGGAAGAAAAAATTGTTTCCAGCAGCAATGTCTCCAATTTTTAAGTAAAGTAAGAGTGCAATATCTATTTAACTTTTTTTGACAGAATAAAAGTCATGATTTTAAAAAGAAGACTTTAAATTAATTAATGGCTAATTAATTAAATGTAATAAAGTAAATGTACTTATTTACAATACATCTGGTATAAATAGTCAAATATGGTAAAAAAGAAAGCACACTCAGTGGTTAGACTGAAAAAAAACTGTAATATACATTCCTTCTTTATAAATTTCATCAGGTTCCTAAAATAATTTAAAAAGCAGAATAAATAAAGATTTAAAATCTCATCTGATGGACAGTTTAGATGATATGACATCAAAACATCTTATTTAGAGAAAGAACATTAAAGACACAGTGTTGGAGCTATTAATTCATCAGGTCAGTGATGCGGATAAAGGACAGAAAGTGATTGTTTTGTATTTTTGTAAGGTAAAATTTTAAAGTTTAGTTCAAATGCATACCTCTTGCGTAAAACAAATGGGGAATTTGAAACTCATGAGCTTAACTCTGTAAAAGTAAAAAAAAAAAAAATCCAGTGGATTGTTTTGTTTTTTAACTTTTACGGAATGACTACGACCTGGATGACTGAGAATCTTCATCAACATCCTGAGCTTAATGCAGCTGTCATGAAACTGCAATTGCCTGTTCCTGAGGCAGTTTCACATCCTTCATGGCTCATACTGTAAATAAGGAAGAAGAAAATCACAGGTAAGCAGCAATTTATGCAATTTACTGTGAGTCTGTGAATATTCCTAAACAAACCTTAGGGCATTGCCCTAGATGATTTTTTTTCAAATGCTGCCCTATTGACACAACTTACCCCACAATGACTCGTCCCCTTAACTCACCGAAGTAATATCTCAGCGGTGCAAGTGAGACAAAACTGCTTTAGAAACTAGACTGATTTAATGGTACTTTAATCCATGATAACACATGAGTTGTTATGTCAATTACCGAGAGTTTTACTTTTGAATAACTTCAGAAAAAATATACTGAGTTAAACCCCAAAAATGTTGGCTAAGATGAGAAAAAATTTTGTTATCTGAAAGATAAATCTTGTCAAATCCTGTTAAATTTTTATAAATCAATGAAAAAATATCTAGAATTATTAAACATCACTTAACTTTGAACTCTTAACACATTGAGACAAATAAATATGAAGTTGATTTCGATATAGAACTTTACTTTCTGTTTAAAAAGATAATACTTATTTAATAATTTAAAGTAAAATTTAGTTTTCAATTTAGTTTAATAATATTTATCTAGTTTTGAAAAGCCATGAAACCAAATCCTACATTTATCCAGACTTTTCAACTCTATGAAGGAATTCTGCGTTTTTAATGATAAACACTAACCGTTCTAACTTTAGCTCCTTAGCTAAGTCATTATCTACCCCAAACTATCTTTTTCTTTTGAAGCAGATATAACCTGATGATAGCATTGAATTGTAGTTCTTAAAAGTGTTAAAGCTCCAGTTTTTCTCCAACCTTGCAATGCAAGAGTCTACACCTGACAAATCAGTAAATAATGCAGTTTTTATGCATATTTTAGTAAAAAGGTAAAAAAAAAATGTCATAAATATATAAAATAAAAAAAAATAAAAAACTTTTCTAAGCAAAGAAATTTTTTTCTATGTTGCTCATTGTGTTAAGGAACAAAAGTAGCACTGAAAGGATTGAGACTCATGATCATGCGTGGCCCATTGGCATCTCTCTAAGCAGTTGAAATGAAGGAAAATATTATTTGGTTGTTTAGCACAAAGCAACAGGATTTTTCCAAAAACGTGAAGTAATAACTCTTTCGTAAAGAAAAGGGAAATGGGCGACTCCTGAGTCGACCACAGCTGTTGAGAAACTCCATAGTTTCCAAATCTATGTTTGGTGTCACATGCATGTAAAAATTTCCATTTCTCTGTGGTGACAGATTTGAGAAACATCAGAGGGTTTGGTCGTACTATTTGAGAGGAAGAAGACAATGTGGAGGGATTTGACATTTAGGTCTCCTGCAGTGAGGATGTTGCCGTTTCTCCTCCTTCTGTTAACAGTCACAGTAAGTTATATCTGATACATCTTCACTTGTCATTTTTGCATCTTTCTAGCATTGCTTTTGCTCCCTGTATATCCTTGAACCAGGGGTCTGCAGCCTGAGGCGCAGGAGCCGCATCTGGTTCTTTGAACCCACATAAATAATGGCTAAAAAAGATAAATAACCAGCTGAAGTAGTACAATTACAAACAACAGTTTTAGAAGCTTTAGTTATTTTTTTTAAGAATATTTGAATTCTTTCTTTTAAACAAGATGGCATTAAAAACTAAGATGTGTTTTAGAGCTTTTTTCATTTATTTTCTTGCAATTAAATCCATTTTATTATTCTTTTACATCAAATAATACACTATTGAAATAAATCCATGCCTCGTCTTTGTGACCCGTTTTATGCTTTTCGTTATTTTAAAGCATAAAGTACAGATAAATTGTAGGTTGTTTAAGATGATAACGGGTTATCGATGGCAGATATTAAACAGATATAAGTTCTGTTTTAATAAAAGGTCATGTGATATTTTGAGGCTCTAAAAGATTTTTATGCAGCCTGACTCAATAATAAAAATTTATTTTTTTGTTTGAACGGTTGCAGACCCCTGCCCTTAATCATGCATTACATACAATAATGTTTTTTGTGTATAACTGCAGGAAGATGGCCATGCCCATCGTGTGCTCGGGGTGAAGAAGAATGGCTCCTGTCAGTGCGAGGTGAACTCCACCATGTGGTCTTTCCCGGCGCTGGACTATGAGGCCGTTCTGCTTCAGGTTCAAACCTGCGAAGGATCTCTAAATAGCTTGGATGAACAGGTGGGAACTAAGACCTCTGTAATGGTTACTTTCATTAAAATGATCTAGATTTCATCACATTTTCCACCTAACATAATTACTATATTTAAACTAAATCAATTAAAGTACCCATTCAGCAGTATTTTTATTATAATTTCATTCGATTAGAATGTTTGATAGATTAAAAACTTGTAAGGGAATTGTTGTGAAATTATTTCATTGCATAATTACTTCATATTTTCAATAAAACAGGCATTACTGTACCTTAAAGTATTCAAGGGGAGGGATATTCTATTTGATTAAATTAGCTGAAGATACAGTATGCACCTTTTTTAATTGCATACTGTGCCAACAAGATCTACTTGGTTTAAAAAAAAATTATTTTCCAGGTTTATGCTTCAAAGAAATAAAATTGACCACTTTTTGATTCCTGATATAAAGTTAAGTCTGTAGGACAGTCTGTGATGTTTTCTTTATTTTAACTTACAATACATCTACATATATGGCAAATCTTAAGACAATACATCGGAAAATTCCTGCCTACCTATTGATCATGTAAAAAAAAAAATTAAAAAAAGTATGGATAAAGGACAGACTGACAAAGAATACATCAAACAGAATAGTTGACACTGGTTTCAGATGTGTGCCTTTAGTGGTTACCAAATGTTTATTGTTTGTGCTTTTTTTTTTTTTATTTAATTGCTAATGACAAAGTTCTCATACCATCTGAATTTCTAACTCAGCTCCATCCAGACCCCAAACTATTCAGCAGCTGAACAAAGAAAAGTCAACAGCAGAAAATTAAATACGGCAATAAAATAAATATTTAAACTTCCACATTAAAAGTGAAAATGCTTTAAGAAGAATGTTTATTTAACTGTGTTACTGAATTCAACATTGGTCTCAATAAATAAATATATATAAGAAAAACTCTCAAAATGGTTAATTCTTCATTTTAAGTCAGCTTCCCCTGCAATTACACCATGCTACCCCTAGGGGGCAAGTTAAGCTTGGGAACACCAGATTTAGACTACAACCCAATATTAATGCGGAATTTGTATTTTTATTAAACTTTTCTAATCTTTTACATTAGATTCTTTCTGGTTGTTCTTCAGCCTCTCTGTAGGTAAAATGTTTGAAATATAAAGCTCACTTTGTTTCTATTACAGTACATTAAAATTTGTTTCTTAGGGAAATATGTACAGTGGCCCTGAAGTGCAAACTGCAACTACAAATCTAAAAGCGCAACTACATTAAGAAAAAAAAAACTACATAAAGCAAAGCGCAACTACATTAAGGAAAACACAATTACATTAACCTACCAGAAAGGGTAGGTACCAGTGGGAAACATGAGACATCGCTGATTGGACGACGGCACCGTTTGACCCTTGAACCGGAAGTCATGCTGCCTGCTGCGGCTTTTGAAAACATGGATACTAACTGAAATTTCGGGATTAGTCTTGAGCATATCCAGTATCACCTCGTACGTATGTCCTGATTCAAAATATTCCTGGATAACGGCAGCTATGTTTGGGGCGCCGACAATATCCATGTTTTCAAAAGCCGCAGCAGACAGAATGACTTCCGGTTCAAGGGTCAAACGGCGCCGTCGTCCCATCAGCGATGTCTCATGTTTCCCACTGGTACCTACCTTTTCCGGTAGGTTAATGTAATTGTGATTTCCTTAATGTAGTTGCGCTTTGCTTTATGTAGTTTTGTTTTTCTTAATGTAGTTGTGCTTTGCTTTATGTAGTTGCGATTTCCTTAATGTAGTTGCGCTTTTAGATTTGTAGTTGCAGTTTGCACTTCAGGGCCACCGTAAATATGTGGGTTTTACGAAACTTTTCATAATGATAACCGTTTCAATTCTGGTAAAGTATACCTTTCAGTTTAAACTCTGATTATAAAAAAATCTGGGCAAAAAGTACAGCTTTAAATACTTTTTTTCTTCTTGCGCCATCTCTGAGCTAAAGTCTCTTTGCCTCTTTCTGTTCAGCTGTGGCTCTCCACCAGCCGTATTCCTCAGGTTCAGGCTCAACTTGCGAATGTGACAGCTCGATTACAGCCCTTTCAGTACCTACACCGTCAGGGCCTGTACACCGCTCTGTCCCTCCGTCAGCTGGGCCAAGACCTCACCCAGCTGGAGACTGACCTCAGTGCAATCCATACCCAGCTGAACAACGCACAGACACAAAAACTGTCCAAAGAGGTAAAACAAAATGCAGAACAACACCTATCTTCACAAATTCTTTCCTGCCTTTCTAAAAGTTTGTGTGTATATTTATCTACCAGGTGGAAAAACTGCGTAAAGTTGTAGAAAGGATGCAAGTCTCAGACATCATTAACATAAAGAGTGTGAAAGAAAATCTACGCTATCTGAAGAACAGCGTGGAGTCCTGCAAGACGATCCCCAAAGACTTTAGAGGTAGGTTTATGTTCACCCATTATATGGTGAAATTTGTTCTGTAAGCGAAACGAAAACATCAATTCCTCCTTGTTCGACCTGCAAGTTTTGTGAGGTCAGAATTCTGCCAAAAGTGCACATGTATGATATGTATTTATACAACCATTTTTGTTTTAAACACGCTCATGCTAACTTCTATTTTGAATACTGCAGGCATGCAGATATAATATCATTAGGTCCACAATGTGTCACAAGAATAATTCATTCTCCATTTCTGCACTTAGGGCTTATTGTTAAGCGCATATCGCCAAATCTCCTACTTGTGTGTGGATCTGTTCCTGTGCCAATCGCCTCAACATTTGTCACTTTGAGGGTGAAACCAACCTGAGAAAAAATCCTGCCTGTGATTGGCTACTTTTTTAGCTCAGCTGATTGCTGTTGCCTTTATGAGTGGAATCTTTACTTCACATTCCGCAGCAATCTCTGTCATCAACTGAAAATGTAGAAATACAATGCTGGACATAAGAATGAAATAGGCTTAACATTGGACACAAACTGATTAGAAATGTAAATGTCTGTGTTCAGCTATACATAAGAGCTCATTCAAACCTAAGTTTCTTAAACTGTGAAGTTAAAGTTAAACTTGGCTCAAACAGAGTTCCAAATTTAAACTTTAATAAACACTTTAGAGCATATGGCTACTGCTGCTGTCAGAAAACATTCATGACTGTGCAAACCCAAGTTGGATAATGGTGACTTCACTTAACCATTTTTTTATGCCTGAGAGAAAAGTGATAAGTCTGAAGGTCCTTTGCTAATGTTACTAGCCACAAACAGGAAGAAAACAGTACTGCCTCAAAAGGTGGGATTTCCTGGAAAGTAGACAATAACAAGCAGTTTACTTTCTGTATTTATTTCCACCCTCAAAGTGAAAAAAGTTTACACCAGCAAACAGAAAAATGTTCACAAGTGAGTAGGAAAGAGGCTACAGAGATACAACGTAAGCCACAAGAGCAGAGAAGGAGCAAGTACTCATCCATATGACATATCAGGGACCACATGGGATTGAATCTGCTTGCATACAAAATATCAAAATAAGCATTGAAAGTAGTTTTGCATTTATTTTAAATGAAACTGCTTTAATGTGTATTTATGATGTGCATGCCTCTTTGGCAGACTTATAGCTTTATTTTATTTTTACTTTTGGCCGGAAATGTAAAAATTCACCAAGAACTTTGTTGGACGAGAGAATATTTCTTTGGGCATCTTTTACCAGATCCTGAAAGTCTCTGTAATCTTTGTTTGCAGGTCAACACATGTACTGCTATAAAGGTTTGATTACCAACATCAGTGAACCTGTCACAACCAAAATTAGTCCCTTTGGTAAAAGCTACATATCTGGATCATGGGGCAGGCAGGCCCAGATGGACACAGAGGGAGAAAAGGACAGCTACTGGGTTCAACCTCTGACCAACAACCACATCTCCGGTAACACATTCCGTGTTTACCAATCCTATGAAGACTTCATGGCAGCTGTTGGCCATAGGGACTATAATTTTGCTCCATCAAACACTCATACCAATGCAATTGAGGGTCCAAGTGGTGTACTGTATGGTGAGGCTTTGTACTACCACTGCTACCGCTCCGCTGACATCTGCAGGTATGACCTGAAGACCAACAGTGTGAAACGAGTGACCCTCCCAGGCACTGGTGTGGGCTTTAACAACAAGTTCCCATACTGCTACTATGACTGCCGTACGAACAGCGATGTGGATGTGGAGGTTGATGAGACTGGACTGTGGGCGCTCTATGCTACCGTCGGGAACCACGGCAACCTAGTAGTGAGCAGATTAGCTTGGGATGGCGAAGCCGAGACTCTCAATGTTACGCAGACCTGGGAGACCAGGCTTTTTAAGAAGGCCGTAAGCAACGCTTTCATGGTGTGCGGCGTATTGTATGCCACCCGTTATGTGGACGATTACAAAGAAGAAGTGTTCTACGCTTTCGACACAGCGACTGGTAAAGAAGATAATTCACTTACACTGCCACTGGAGAAAGTAGCTAAAGGGGTGGCTAGTCTAAGCTACAACCCCACATTCAGGCAGCTCTACATGTATAACGATGGATACCTTATGGCTTATCAGACCTTGTTTTGATTTAATGCATCATTCATTTTGAGCTATGCTTATCAAGTGCAACAAAAATATACAAAGCTTCAAGTATACAATGATATAATAAATATTTGGGAATGTAATGGGAGAACAGGCAGAGTGGATATTTCTTAACAGCAAGATCTCTGTCACTGTGCACTCGGAACATCATTGCTCTAGAACATTGTGTAATACCTTGATATGGCTGGACTCTGTAGTGTCTCCTTATCACGAATGTAATGTAAAGTCTCGAGATGTATAAAATGCTTCTTTAACTGTTACTCTGGGTCGACTTTTTGAAGAAGCGAACTCGGGGGTACATGCTGCCATTAGGAACCTGAGCCATTTCTCAGGTCTGAATAAGATTACAATTTCTGTCAAAACCTTTTTCACATCTCATAGTCATTTAATTCATATACATTATGAAGGGATATTCAGTGTTTGTTCAGAGTGATCTCTTCTCAGGAAAGAATTGGGGAGATGTCCTCCAGGTCATATTCCTTCGAAAAAATAAAAAAATAAAGTTGTTTTCCAACGTTTAGGAAGTTTCGCTTCCCATCCAGGAAGATTTTTCAATTCAAAATGACCCCCCCCCCCCCCCCCCCCCCCCTTTTCAGAGGCATTGACCAGTATTTGGCATTGCAGGCTAACAAAGAACTCAACAACTCCCCATTCCCATTCTTCCGGTTCAGTTTGCATATTTTCTAAGCCAAAACAAGGCTGTGTTTGGGTTACTCTATAAAACTTGGAACTCAACACAAATTCTGACATTTTAAATTCAAAAAGCTTCCTGAATGGGAAGTGAAACATCTTCAAACTTGGAAAACAAAGTCCAGTGGATTGTTTTTCTAACTTATTTTGAAAGACGTAAAAATAAAGCTTTCTTTTGCAAAAGTGTTTGCAAAATGGAGGGACATTAAATACAATTGTTCTGGCTGATTGGGTAAATCACCAAGTGGCACCTGCCTCCCATGTTAAGCTTTTAGCTAATTGCAGCAGCAGATGTTACTCTTTATTTGTTTCACTAGCAGAGTTAGCTGATAAATCAAAGTATTACCAAATGCGGTCATGAGGAATGCCAACCATCTTTCCCATCCACCAAGGCACAAATTGTGTCATTTTGCTCGGTATGTGGCTGGGTCTTCCAGCTAAATCCTACCGCAGTGTTTATTTTTACTTCAGCCTTCCTGCTTCTGATTGAAGTCATACGCGTTACTGCATTTTCATTTATTTTGTAATTGTCACTCATCAAAAAAGATCAAATGTAAGATTCAATAAATCATTTCCCATTAAGATATTTTGAAGGCGAATGCATTCATTATTTTTCAGTTTTTTATATTTTAAAATGAGCAAAAACTGTTGATAATTTCTGCTTTTCAATGCAGAACATCAGCTTTTTTTTTTTACTTTTGTATGCTTTTCAGCCATTACATCCCAAACTGAAGTCAGATATTCACATTTTTTCATACTGTTTTTCTACAATGCTGCTAGTAGATAGTCCCAGTCTAATGCATTAGTGAACTCAAATTAATTACATTAAATGCCATTCAGTTAATTTATATAGCGACAATTCACAACAAATGTCATCTCAAGGCAATTTACAGAGACAATTCAGCTAGATCAACTCAGATTAGTTCAGTTTTCGAAAGAAACCAGCTGATTGCATCGACTCATTGACTCGACAGCAATCCCTCATACTAAGCATGCTTGTAGCGACAGCGACTCCGTCACTGTTCCCTAACCCTTAACTCACATCCTTCTCTTCAATTTGTATGGACATTTAGCTCCAGTGACTCACCCACTTGTTGAATTAAGCACATTCTATCTTTTACTGTGTTTCTTTTCAACATAAAGTAATGTGATTGTAAATCAAATAAAAAGATGTTAGAAGTTAAAATCCATTGGTTTTGATCTAATTCATTACCGTATCAGCTGACATTAACCAAACATATGGACTGTAAAATGGATTAAGTAAAAAACAGACATTTGGAAAAAAAAATTACTGAACTTGCTTGATCCACCTTTCAGATGACTTGGGACTTACTTGCGAGTTGCATGTATGAGACATACTCCCATCTCTGTCCTCTCGTTCCATTTAGCACTATGAGGTGAAACTGGTAGGACAGATCCCAGTTAAATCGGTTGTGTTAGCAAACTCGGGGTCGGTTAATGAGGAACTAGACAGCTACAGGTTGACCCTCTGTGATCAGAAAGTGCCATAAAACTGTTTCAAAATCCAATATGGGGTTCCGTTAGTGCCAAAAATATGTTTATGTGTCTTCTGGTGTGTCCATGTATTGTGCTTATGTAATGGAAGCTGTATATGTAGTGGTTTAAAGCTGAAGTCTGTAAGTTTTTAAAAATCACTTTTTTGTCATATTGGCTAAAACTGTCCCTATGCCCAGACAGCAGTACATGTGATATGTAACCTGTGAAAAAAACTGCTTCAATTGGTCCCGCCTACTGCCTGTATTTCAATCTGGAAAGAATAATTCGGGACGAGTCAAAACAACCAATCACAGCCAGAGGAGCGTCTGATGGAGTGTCAATCACAGCTCACACACGCTGAATCCCGCCCCCCCCTTCTGGTGGCATGCGGTAGCCGCGCAGATGCTGTGAGAGGGGTGGAGCTTGAGTGAAGCAGAGAGGGTGGGGGAGTGACGAGAAACCTGTTTTTCTTCAAATTTTCAGTCGAAGTCTGCTCTCTCCTCAATGTTACAGACTGCAGCTTTAAAGTCTATATGTCAGATTCATATGTTGTGTCTATATGCTGTGAGCATAAGTATTGTGTCTACATGAGGGATAACGTGCATTGCATTATTCTTCACTTCATGTTGTTTGACCATGTTGTTGAACCTGTCAGCATGTGATCTCGTTTTGCTGTCGTTTCTTTTGCTGTTACAGCCTGTCGTTCTCCCCTGTCATCTCCCTCTGCTGTTATACCTGTCGTTGTCCCGTCATCTCCCTCTGCTGGTACAACCTGGCGTTACAACCTGCCGTCTCCCTCTGCTGGTACAACCTGTCGTCTCCTCTGTTTTTACAGCCTGTCCATGGTAATGCTCATTGAAGCTCAATTTTACAGCAGAGGCGTTTGTTTCATTGACTCTTATTTTCAAATCTCCGTTAAACCGGAAGTGTGTACGTTATTTTATCATGACCGCATTGGTCAGTAAGTGAAACACTAAGGTGCTTACTAGAGCTAATATGTGTGGTCAGATTTGAAAGGAGTTATTACTGTTGTGACATTAAAGATTAAAACAATATAGATAAAATAGCCAACCACTCGCAAATGGAACCAGGTAACGGCACAAGACGGCAGCAGCAACCCACCATTGTAAAAGCAGTGCAACGCCCCGTTAACGGGGACAATGACAAGTATAACGGAGACAATTTGAAACGACACAGCAGATAACAGGGGACGACGACAGGTTGTAATGACAGGTTGTACCAGCAGAGGGAGATGACGGGACAACGACAGGTATAACAGCAGAGGGAGACGACAGGGGAGAATGACAGGCTGTAACAACAAAGGAAACAACAGCAAAACGAGATCACATGCTGACAGGTTCAACAACATGGTCAAACAACATGAAGTGAAGAATAATGCAATGCATGTTATCCCTCATGTAGACACAATACTTATGCTCACAGCATATAGACACAACATATGAATCTGACATATAGACTTTAAACCACTACATATACAGCTTCCATTACATAAGCACAATACATGGACACACCAGAAGACACGAAAACATATTTTTGGCACTAATGGAACCCCATAATCCAATGGCTCTAAAACCAAAACTAAAGTGGATCTTTAGAAGGAAAGCTGTTTTCCTACTTATGTCTTGTAAATAGCATGGCCAAGACAGAGCTGAGAACTCTTAACAAAGGAAAGGTTTGACATCTTGTTGAACAGAGCAGCAGGTAGTAACAGTAATATTTACCCATTCAGAATATTAACACACTGAGTGACCAGAAATATAACCTTATCATAACCAACAGCTTTTCTTGTGACATCATCATTACTTTCTCTATTATGAAATAAAAATGCTTTTATAAGTAACTAGTTAAAAATTGAAAAGAAAAAAAAGTTCAGTCGATAAACCAGAACCCTCATGGCTATCGTCTTCAAGACAAAAACACAGAGGGCTATAAAATTCTGTTAATTAAATAGTATCCATACTCCTGTCTTCCGCTTTATCGTGGACCGGGTCGCAGCGGCAGCAGACTGAGCAGAGACCCCCAGACTTTCCTCTCTGCATATCTTCTGTTGTTGGTTATGTCTCACTGAATACATTGGTAAAGGGCAGTGAGCATATAAATACTGTAGTGGGTTGAAATCATTGAAATTAATTTCAAATATTGTTGCAAGCAAACACCATAATTTATTAATAAAGATCAGAATTTTGTTTTTTGAAAACTTTATTTATTTATATATTTTAAAGATATTTGACTGATGTTATAAATTCAGATTTATTTAATCTATTCAGATTTTATTAATTTTTTTCAAATTTCAGTTTTCCAGAGTTTTTTTTTTTTTTACATTTTTTATTGTGTTTCCCAGAGCTTATCCTCTTCATTTCTGGGAGGAACATCTCTCATTGTTGTCCTCCAAACAGCAATGAAGGAAATCCAGGCACTCTGGAAGGAGAAGCCAAGGGGATTATGGTCAGAAGCACAGACGGGAGGTAATTAGTCAGGCACTTGCTGGTTATGTCCCTATCATGAGAGAGGTTGCAGCTGAATTTAAAGAGTTGGAGGTGGTTGGAGCAGGTCTGTATTTTTCATACAGACCTGCTCCAACCACAGAGTACCTGGAATTCAGACATCGTCAGAGCAAACTTTAGAACAGAGCAACTGAACATTATTGAATGGTGTCTCATGAGATCCAGTTTGTCTGCATCCTTATGGATTTATGGTTTGTACTTCCAGTTGCTTGTTTTATCTGAAGGTATCTATAAAAATCATTTGATGGGAGGTCAAATTGTTCTTGAAGTTGAGAGAATGATTTGAATTCTGTTTCTATAAAGAGTTGATTGATTGTACAGAGACCTTTATCAGCCCATCTTTTAAACCCTCTATCCCACACCGAAGGGGGAAATTCTATGTTCCCTACTATTAACATGGCCCTTGAGATGGACTTCGGTCCCCTGAGCAATTTTTTAGCT